CTCAATTTTCTATGGAAGAACTTAAATAAAAAAGCAATTATCAGTAAAATCTAAAGATTATTTAGAAAATAACAGCAAATACTGCATAGAAAAAGCACTAAAGAAGGCAAAAGCGAATAGAAATCGTATTTCTATTTAATAACACAATTAGGTACTTCTAATGTGTATTTACGGCTGACATTGTAACAATTTTTCAAAATTTTACAAGAAAAAGTTTTTTTCGAAAAAGAAAACTAGTTTTCGAAATTTACAATTTCCCACTTGATAACAATTTAAAACAGCCAGTGGCGATGCCTTGAAGATATTGGCCAAACATAGGCATATTAACTGATGTAGGTCGACAGTTGAACAAAATAATTTTTGCAAAAGGAAAATTATTGAATAAATCACGTTTCGCTCCTTTTAGGTCAGATCGACACGATTTATGCGCTCAGCTGCCATGAAATCGAGTCTGACTATGCATTATGCTAAATTTTTACAACACTCAAATGCCTGGATCGAAAGGAACCCAAGAAATTTGTTAATATATTTTACTTGATTGGATTCTTTGTGGCTGTTTAATAATTCTTAGTAAAACTATCTCAACCGTTTGGATTACCGATATCTATTAAAGCAGGTATTGTGTTAGTTGGGCCCATTTTCATAAATGCTGCACATTCTAGTTGGTATATTTTAAGAAGCTGATCAGATTATTTTGCAAAGCAATTGATTAAAAATGAATTCCATATAAGTAGCATACAAGGTGAAGTGGCGTTCATGCTGAATAATGCATTTTCTATGTTCGAGAAATATATTAGAACATTTTCAGCCATTTAATTGCTGCGATTGAGTAACATTTCATTATTACACCTTAGTTTTTTACTTCAACTTGATTAGATCACCTTCTAGGCTTGGCAATTTTGCATATTACAAACTTACTCATACAATTAATGTGCAATGCTAATTTCCTAGTCTTATTGCGTTATTTTGGTCGTGAGTGAAAAGCGAAAAGCGTCTTCTGGATTTCTAAAGATGTTGGCTTTTGGTCTTGCTAGTAAAATAGTTTCTACGTGGTCTACAGCCAAATCTAGATAATGTGTTATCAGCTGTTGGGTGCATCTTATACCCACTCTTCTTATCTTTTACAAATGTCTTATATTTGCTGCCGTTTTAGCCGATAGTCCTCTTCATACATGTTTCTGTTTTATTTTGAAATAATTTCTTGTCTTTTCAGTATAAAAGGAGATCGATTTTTTCTCATTGTTTAAAGCATTTCAGAAGAACTCTCAACAGTTTCAGTGAGAAGCTTTTCTCTCTATTATTGACCGCTCTAAAAAGCTTTCACGAGCGAGAGTGACTTGCATTTGCATCATTTATTAGCTTCACTTCAAGATTCAAAGGAATCAAATTTGAATATGCAGCATTTCATCAAATGCACCAAACTCGTTTTCCAAGAAATTCCACACTCGTCGTTAATTGGCAATAATGAAGCCACTGCAGTTCGCACGATAAACAGCGGTGGTTGCATGCGACTAAATATAAAATAAACTGATTTGGTAGTATAATTAGGCCGAAGAAACATAAAAATAATTTCGGAATGGTTTGTTTTTAAGTCGGACCTGCCATAACTTATGGAAGACGCCGCCGCAAAAAAATGCCGTTCTTGAGAAATATCAGACAACCTGGAAAATATTTTGATGAGACTGAAGCACGCGACCTTTTCTGCGAAAACGTTTGGTTCTTCAACTAATTAATTTAACTTAATTACTTCATTTTAATTCAACGATATTAAGTTACCCCAAATAGAAAAGGTTTTGATCATTTCCACCTTATACTCGCGTAACTTTTGATTTGCGTGGAAAAAAAAGTTGAAACATCTTACAACTTATAGCAAAATATTGACTAATACTCAAATAAATATTTGGTGGTAATCCTGAATTTTGTAATCCTAGCATGATTAAATTGAATTCTGTCTTGTACAATATTATATGAATATTTGCTGAAGAGAGAGAAACCGACTCTCACATTTGAACCAAACAAGTCGAGAGTAATGGATTTTGGTTTTGAAGGCAATAAATCAAGCGGGCTTATCTTTAAAATATCTTTTCTGGGCTGGAGATACGACTGCATATAATTAGTTCAGGGATGGGAGTGTAAAGGTAAGAGATATTCTTATCTAGCAGACTATTGTCTGGTTATTATTTGATCTATTTATATTATTTCAATAGCGATAAGATCCGAAGTTGTGGAGAATAGCTCCGATGTTAATATGACACCAAATAGATATTCACCTATATGGTGGCTGTGCAACTTCAAGTGCAGTAAAGGAACATGATATGTTTATATATCAAGCAATCGCTTATTTCAGTCTGGTGAAGAATTTGAAAATAATGAACTGAAACTTTACTGCTGAACATCGCTTTTTGGAACAAAAGATTTGCTGGATTCCAATGCTACAAAAATAGAGCAATCAGCTTAATGAATTACCTATTTATTAAACAAAACGAATTCCAGTGCCTTCAGAACGAACTATTAATTTTCTCATTATAACAACCGTGACAATTAGATTTCGCTCGGACTTGATGGTTTTTCCTATTACGTTTTCACTTACATACTGCGGAGTATTTGTTAAATTACATGGTCATTGTGTTCCGAGAATATCAATCTTAAGTTATTTTCTATATTTTATCGGTTAGCTTAATAACAATTAATAACGATCAAATTTAGTTTAATAATTGATTTAGTTTAATTTAGTACCAGTTTCTTAGTTAGTCGGTTAGAAGTTAGAAGGCATTAATTACAAGACTCTTAGAGTCCATAATGTATATTTATATAAACGATATTTGCATACTTGAAACGAACAAAAACACGAGATCGAGTGTTAATCACAGCATTTATTGTATATGCCTAGATATGAACTGAACTAGCTCCTAAGCTAGTTGCATTGTTTTCGCTTAATGAGCTGTAAGTAAAATAACTGGAAATGAAGTGTTAATAATTGGTTATCCTCAGCTCACGAATACTCTTGCATTGGGCTGAATATTTCATGCATGAACTTGCACCTTTGCGACTCGTTATGCAAAAATCTAAAGACTTTTAAGTATTTAACTTGGGGAAGGTCTTGGATATGGATAACAGCTATGTATGGGTGTAATTATAAAGCTAAATTGTCGGCTGTTTAAAAATTTTTGCAGATTAAAATGTATTTTGTAAAAGTAGCAGGGGTTTGGATAAAATTATTTTTGTTACTACTTTGATCAAATGGCATTTCCAGCAAAAAATTACAAAAATCTAAGAACCTGTCCAAACTTTCTAAGTACACATCGATGAAAGTTTGTCATACTCGCAAATATCATCAAAAAGTAACGCATTTGTCCAAATCTGATCTTAAACTAATCTCGTGATTAATAAACAGTTTGTGTAAATTGTTCGTTCATTAAAAATAATGAGAACTTTTAAGAACAGCTTTCTATTTAACCTAAATGTTTCCAATTTTTGATTCAAAGATTGATCATATTTTTCAAAGATCAAACCTTTCATACAGTCTTATAGTAATTTAGGAATTGCAATGTAGTCGTCATTTTGGATGATTTTTATTTAGTGTTTACTAAAAAATTTATTTGATGATCATACATCTGTGAAATTCTTCTAGTATCCTAAGCTAAATCAATGCTCACAAGTCTTACAACCATAAAGCACTTAACATCTCCAATATACCAACCATTAACTACGCAACTTTTTACAGCCCRGTTCACAAAAAGCCAATAAAAAAAGTCTAAAAGCATTTTTGACGGTTTATAGAGGTGTTGGAACTAATGCACGTCATTAAAGCCATTAATTTGACCTGAAATTCGAATCTGATAATGCCATAGTGGAATTATTCTTCGAAATATATGAAGCGAAACTGGTTCGGGTAAAGGAATTCTCGGCTTGAAGCAGGATACATTTTGCTTGGTCCATTTCATTAAACTCTGCTAAATTAAATTATACTGCTTATTTTCACCGAAAGTCGTTTTTTAATTTACGTTTAATGTTTCAATAAAATTTAACGGATTAGATTAGCTAGTAAAACAATTTTGGGAAAGTCATCACTCATTTTTCTACATATATTTTTTATATCAGATACTTTCCAGAAAAATTTGCAAGATACTTTTCAAAATTAGAGATTGACAACAATGTTTATTTATTGCGAAAACGGATATCGACCCGATCGGTCTTTCGGCCCTTTAAAGCATGCTTAGTTCGACTTCGACTGTTTTCTGTTCTTTTGGTGATTGCTGTTCTGATACTTGGTTACGTGTTAAAGACTTTTTGAGTTTTTTTGCCCACGGCAGTTCATCGGTTTTTTACGGTTAATTATCTTCTTTTTGTTCAGATACTTATTAACCCTTAGCTGTTATTGTTAGGGAATCTGCTTCAATGTGGAGCCTTGAGAAAATAGATGCAATTTTTCATATATCTGGAATGGTGTTCGTTGTAATATAGTTGTTCAATTGCTTTCGGATAAGTTATGCGTTTCTGTAATTAGGCATTTTACCATTTTAATTGCTATTTAGTGTTTTCCAGGATCTGTGTTTTTGCAGTGATTTTATTACTTATTCTAGTGCTTGTTTGTTGGCTTATGGTGTTGGGGTTGTAGGTGTAGAAGAACCAGAATTTGATTTCCTGCGTCTATCGAGTTTTGAATGTTGGACGGCTAAATGCTCGGTTCCACTCCGATTCTGCAAACTTCCTGAGCTCATTTGAGCTTTATTACTCAGTATCATGTCTTTGCATAACTTGCATTCATTAATAATTTTTGCAGTTCTGTCGAAATGGAGATTGGAAGGGGTCTCTTAAAATTCTTATCCATTTCGTTATATTCATTTATATGCCACTCCTCATACTCTTATATACCTGAGCAAGTGTAAATTTTACATCACTTATACAATAACTTTTGGCTGATTCCCTAACCTTCACCTATTATTACTATTGGATTTTTCAGACATGCATTATCTAATATTTATAATGTTTTGTTTCAGATACATTCACTCAAAGGAGAAACCATTCAAATGCAACGAATGTGGAAAAGGATTCTGCCAATCCAGGACGCTGGCAGTGCACAAAGTCCTCCACATGGATCAATCTCCTCACAAATGCCAAGTGTGTTCCAGATCATTCAATCAAAGATCAAACCTAAAAACACATCTATTGACGCATACCGATCACAAACCATACGAATGTAACAGTTGTGGAAAAGTCTTTCGACGGAACTGCGATCTGAGACGTCATGCTTTAACACATGCCGTAGGAGATGTTATTCCTGAGGAACTAGAAGGTCCTTTGGATGGGGAACGAGAGAAAATGTCACCCAGACCTAGGTGMGAGATTCCCTTGTAATTATGTCTAGATCTAGAGCTTAWGTACAGAGAGTAAATAAAAAGTTAAATTATTTGCAAGAGTTACACACATTTTTACTGAAAAGTGGTTAATGCCACATGCAAATATTTTCCAATATTTTGTTCACATTATAACACATATTTCATGTGCAAAGTCAACACTATTAATCAAATCTATTTGTTCAGATAGTTCTTCTACACATATTCAAAGTCTTCAAGCACTTGTTATTCTTCAATAGTCTGGATGTTTTGCCTTTTTTTTGCCTATTAAACCGTTAACATTTTGGTTGTTTCTTGCATAGGCATTGTCTTCCTTTTAATCGCCCGATTCTTTATCACTTTTTTTTTCTTTGGAATACTTTCCTTGACAACTCCTGTTTCTTCGATTTGCTTTTCAACGACATTTTCTGGTTCTTCGAGAATTTTTTACATCACAGATAATGTGGCTTCGGGTCTCCTGCCTTCTTGATTGACACAGCGATCTCCTTCTGAAGAATGAAGAATACCTTGTTCCACAACTTGTATCTTTGTCTTGTTCATATAATTTCTTAACTACTTCTTATATTGTGGTGTCCAGTTTCTTACCTTCTTTCTCAGGGTAATTATTTTGGTTGATTAAGGTTTGTCAACTTTCCGCTTTTAAGTCGCGCGTTTGCCACTTTCTTTTTAAGAATACGTTGTTCTAATACAGCTGGTTTTTTTATTTGCTCTGGTAATTCTTCTACAACATATTCTGGTTGATCACTCTCTTGTTCTTTAATGATTATTGTGGTTTCTGGCCATTTGCCTTCTTCTTGAACCGTTACAATAATTTTTCCGACTACTGTAGCTTTTTCGATATTCACCTTAATATTCAGACTTTTCATCAATTTTCGTTTCTTCATTGATATTGACGCCTCCGGTTCCTTACCTTCTTGCTCTATAGTGACTAACTGACGGGTGAATCGATGTCTGGTTGAGCGCAATTTTCCCTTAATCCAAAATGCACAAATTCTCGAATACTCATTAGATTAGAGAATTTATTTATCTACAAAACGCTGTTGAAAGTTCCCAAATCGCAGCCAAATTCAATGAGTTAGAATGAAAACACGGAGTCGATGAATGTACGGTGCAGTTGAAACTTTAAGTTTCCCGGAAAAGCGGCAAAAAATACGGCAGAGAATTACGAAAAATTGGTTTTCTTAGAGGATTGCTTTGTCCACAAAATAGTTTTCAAATTTTTGAAATCGCAAGCAAAGTCAGTGACTTACAAAAAAAGAGTGAGTCGACGTATGGTTGGGCACAGCCTAAACTTCAACCATAGATTTTCTCGAATAATTTTCCAGAACACAAAATGTACAAATGTACAGCTTTAATTAAGGAATGTAATTGTCTTGAGTCGATGAATGTTCGGTGCAGTTGAAACTTTAAGTTTTCCAGACAAGTGAGAAAAAATACGGCAGAGAATTACGAAAAACTGGTTTCCTTAGGGCATTGATTTGTCTATAAAATAGTTTTCAAATTTTTAAAATCGCAGCCAAAGTTAGTGAGTTACGAAAGAAAGAGTGAGTCGATGTATGGTTCGGCGCAGTCTAAACTTCAACCGCAGATTTTCTCGAATTATTTCCCTGAACACAAAATGTACAAAGAACAGTTTTAATTAGGGAATTGAATTGTCTTCAAAACGCTTTTGGAAGTTCCAAAACCGCAGCAAAATTCAATGAGTTCAAATGAAAACACGGAGTCGATGAATGTTCGGTGCAGTTGAAACTTTAAGTTTTCCAGACAAGCGGGAAAAAATAAGGCAGAGAACTACGAAAAACTGGTTTCCTTAGGGGATTGATTTGTCCACAAAATAGTTTTCAAATCGCTCATTTCTGTTGTTTCTTGTTTGTCACGTTCCTTCTTTTTTATCGCTCGTTTCTTGATTATTTTTTGACACTATATCTCGGAATGTATTAACTTTCAGATAAGACAAATTTGCCTGAAACGCAATATTTTGGCCTAAACAATATGTCAGTGAATTTTTCTACATTAGTTGAGGAGCATCCTGTATATCTCACATTTAAAATCATTAAACTTTCCAATACCATTAATGTAGATCACGAATAATCAATCGTAACTTTTTCATCATCAAACTTATGTTTAAGTCTATCATGATTTTTCAGGTCGCCTTCACAAGAATCCAGGGATGGTTCTATAAGAGTGTGTTCGCCAACACCAGAACGAACCCATTGCCATGAGCCCAGATCCAGTGACTCACCGTACACGATGAGGCCTTCAATGGACAAAATGGATTATTCACATGATATGGACGATGAAGATGATGATGATGATGACGATCCCGAAATAGATCCAGGACAAGAGGACTGCCCGGAAATTAGCCACGAGTTGGAGCAGAATGTACGTAGCAAATCATGTTGATATTGTTTTATGGAAAAGAAGATGCTTCCTTTTTTATATTATAAATCGATAAGAACTAATTCATACATAACTTATGTAGATTTTTTAAAATGGCTGGGAATAAATGTAAATCAGAAAACGTCCCCAAGTACACAACTCTTTTAAAACGCATCAAGTTATTACTGAATTGTTATTAATTTCACTTAAAACTAAAAAATTAAAATGTAATAACATTATTTTTTTATTGCAGATGTCAATTAGATCTCCTCCTCCACCAATGCCACAGCTTCAAATTCGCAGAGATCTTCTAGCCAAACCTAGTACTATAACAAGTAAAGCCATTGAATCAGCTTCAATTCAATCGCCTTTTTCTGGTATAAGAAAGCGGGCTTACGACCAAGATAGGCCAAGTTGCTCTTCAAGTTTTATGGGTTCACCCAGACCTCCAGTGGGCTCTCCAAGGCCTCCAATGAGCTCACCGAGACCCAGAACGCCCGCAAGCTATAGCCATTCTAGACCTCTGAGTCCTCCAATGAAACTGCGCATGGGAGTCGTTGGTATGGGTGGTATGAATCATCCTGCCTACCCTCAGAATCTGAGCATGCCCCATATCATAAACATGCAGGTTTCATCTTCTAGTGGGATTTTGAAACCTCCTGATGGAGTTTCAAGTTACACGAATATATCGCCTGCTATGCCAATTATGTGTATGCCAGGTCTGTCAAAAGCTACTCATTCTGCAGGGCAAGTTTCTCCTAATAGCACACCGAGTGATTTGAGTATGAAGAAAGTTGAAAGTGAGAATAATGCTGTAGCTCCTCCGGTTGTTGCCCCCGCTGTTCAAAGGCCACCACCTCCAAAGAAAACTGGATTTACAATAGCAGATATTATGAGTAGATAGAGGTTGAGAAAACCGTTTGAAGTTTTTTGCATATTGATGCACTTATTTAAGTGAAAATAACAATAAAGTTCTCGTAGTAAGTCTTCTTTTTTGGCAATATTCATTATTTTGTACCAGAATAGAATACATTTACGTTCCTTTTTAATCACGATTTAAACAATTAGTTCAATTATCATAGATTGTAGATTTTTTTATACAAAGGGACCATTAGGTACTCGCAATGTTATTGTACATATTTTTTGCTCATAGGTTGAACATATGTAAATTACATGTTTTCAGAGCCGATGTCTGATTTCAGGCAGTGCTTTTGTGTTGTGTTATTGCTCGCTTTAATTTATGAATAAACTGCTATAATCACCTGTACGTTTAGTTATATTGGATATTTGATTAGAAGTTTGTATAAGGTCAGATCTGTAAATTTATGTTATGTGGAATAAGATTTTGTATAGAGAATTTGTATGTAGTATTTTTTAAGATTAGGTATAATATTATGTTCGACACTTAAATAGATTATTGTAACCTAAGTTAGAGTAATGAAATAAACGCAATATAATTTTAAAAGATCTCTTTGCATTGTTGACAAGAAATTATATTCAGATTTTCGGTTCAATATTACTATAGCTCCGTCGTTTCGGTAAAATAAGAGTAAAGAAACTACTTGGAACATGTAATACACAGTGGTGAAATAAAAGAATTAATTAGATTCTTGTAGTTTGACTTTTTCGTTATCAATTAGCGCTAATATCAATAGCTTACAGTTCTACATGTGTAAACGTGAACATTTTGAAGAAAATATTAAATTAATTTATAATAATATTTTTTGATAACACCGTACAATTTAAATTGAATGTTTCAGGAAAAGTTTAACGGCTCTATTTCTATTAAAGACCAAAGCTTAGATTAATACGAATATTAATTAAAATGTGAAGGTAATTTGCAATTATGATGCAGCAATTACTAGACCTTATTAACCTGTTTGCGGAATATCGAACTCAAGTGATTGCATGAAATATACCAATTCGGATGATTTCTGCATTAAATGGCATTTAATAAGTTAAGTGGATGAATAGGTAATCTGGTACAATGGAGAATATACGCATTAGCTTTAGAACGATTTAAATGCAATAATAATGATTTGTTGAACTGTTACAGTCCTGAAAACTTTTGGACCGTTCGTTTTTTCCTGAATTTCGATTGAATTCACAATTTTTTGGTATATTGAATACCAGATTGTGATTCATAAACTTTCCAGAAAATTGGTGTGGTTTGTTCTGTTTCGCTTTTTAAAAATTAAATTATTTTCACTCCGAATTCAGTTTTATGCAGTTGCCGCAACACTATACCTTTACAACTGATATAGATTCCGCTCTTCCGGAAGTAATTGCATTAAAAACAGACCATAAAAGTTTTTTTTTTTTCTATTTGCCGTCCCGACTGAACGGGAAATATTTAAGAGGCACGAAAAAATTTTGAAAGTATTTAAGTTTATCCAATTAAATTAATTTTCTAACGACCAACCGATTTTTGGAGTGTTAAAGATTAATTGAAATTTTGCGGCTTTGAAAGAACTATGCATCCCATTCCATTTGTAATTCGTAAGTATCTGAAGGAAATCTACTGCTTAAAGGGATAAATTCCGTGATTTTATATAGTAAACTGTTAAAAATGGCCGGATATTCTGGTCATAAAATTGAAATGGCAAACCACCACATTTGAAGCTCAAATACTTAGCAAGTCTCGTACAATAAATAATATACTGGCAAAAACTTAAACCAAAAAAATTGTGAGATATAAACAAAAATATAATTGTTTCAAACAACTTTTCAGTTTCAGCGACTGTTACTTCCCAAGGAAACGAGCAAGTGCATAAAATAAACAGTACCATTGCGTGTTTTCAAAAAAGCTGTTACAACATTCTCTAGAAATAATTTGCAAATACTCCATACATAATATTTTGGACAGTGAAAAATTATCCATTCGATATGTTGTATAACTTCGAGCGACTGAAGCGGATGGCGAATCCTCATAAATAACCTGTACTACCTAATTAACATTTATCGCAAACCATTCCTTAGTCATCGGGCAATGTAAAGAGGTCAACCACAAAGAAACCGACTATGGAGCTTCTCGTCTAGGCCATTCTCTTCGAGATAGGTGTAGACTGCATTGTTCAGCAATTACTTCTTTATAAATGTGCAAATTGGTCGATTTCCATTCAGGTGTTGCCTAGACACGCCCGGTCTGCGGTAGCAGTTTTACCACATGCTTTTCTGGGTATTGTTTAAATTAATGCATGAGCATGATGTGCGGTCGAAGTTTCAAAGTTTTG